TGCCGCTGCCGCCCTCCCTCGCCTTCCAGCCAGAAGTGTGTGGCTCTCCTCTAGACTTCTTGCCCAGTGCTCTGGATCTGAGCAAACAGGGATTGCAGTAACACTCACCAAGGGGAGACAAGCAGCAAGTAGCCAAATTGGGACAACGGAGGAGGAGGGGGGGGCTTTTTTGCCTTCCTTCTTTTTTTTTTCTCTTCCCTTCTGGATGCAGAGCCAGTGTTTTGATGCAGAGCCTGTGGATGCCACTCTCTGGTAAGGAGATGACACGCCAGTCTCTGGTCCCTTCTGCCCCTTGAGCTGGGGGCAGGGGGCCTGGGGGCACTGACAGTTCCCCTCCTTGGGCAGAGCAGTGGAGTCTCTCCCTGTGACTGAGCAGCAGCTGCAGCAGCATCGGCCATGGACAAGCTGCCCCCCTCCATGCGCAAGAGGCTCTACAGCCTGCCCCAGCAGATAGGTCCCAAGGCATCGATCATGGATGAGGAGGAAGACAGCGACAAGGACACCCGGAGGAAAAGCATCAGGCTGAAGCCACTACCTTCGCCCTCTGCTGGGAGCACCCGGGCACTCGGGGGAGACCCCGGCAGAGGGGGGGACCCCAGCCTCCTGGAGACGGAGGCAGGCAGCAAGGGCACAAAGACCAGCACCAACGGGGACTGCCGCCGTTTCAAAGGGAGCCTGTCCTCACTGACCAGCAGGCATCTCCACGACGCGGCCGAGGAGAAGAGGCTGATCGGGGGTGAAGGGGACCCAGCCTCCCCCAGTGAGGAAAAGAGCCCCACTGGCAGCGGGGAGCTGGAGCAGGGACTGCCAGCGCCCCCAGCACCAGCGTCCCCCCCAGAGCCCCAGCAGCAGCCTGCCCGGGCTTGCTCCTCTACCTCCATCAAAGTGGAAGGAGGTGGAGGGTGCGACCAGATCACCCCAGATGAGGAGCAGAGGCTGGGCCAAGCTGGTTTCATGCAGAGGCAGTTCGGGGCCATGCTTCAGCCAGGGGTCAACAAATTCTCCTTGAGGATGTTTGGCAGCCAGAAGGCCGTGGAGCGGGAGCAGGAAAGGGTTAAGTCTGCCGGGTTCTGGATCATCCATCCCTACAGCGACTTCAGGTACAATCCCCCCTCCTGGCCCACTTAAAACTAGCTGGCCTGCCCCTTCCCCTGCCATGCTCACACCTTTCCACACAGACCACACACACCCAGACATAACTTTGCTTGCTAATTTCCTAGTCAGGGGAGCTGGAGGACACATCGGAGATCTGCTCCACCAAACAATCTGCAGGTTTTATTTATTTTTAAGCTTAGTTTTGGTGTCCCCACACTATTACTAATTTTAGATTGTGTTTTAAAACCGACAAACGTCTTCTGCTTTGGCTTTTTATAAGGGAAAGCCTCTCTGTAAGTTCAGTGTAAATGGAGAAATATGTTCCCACCTGATGCACAACTCTAGAGTAAAAGCATGGTCTCTGTTGCTTAACTAGTCCTACATCTCCAGCTCAGAATGTGTGGTCTGCCTGACTTAGTTTCAGTTCTCATTTTCTTACCCCAGAGACCTCTCCCTTCTCCTCTTAAGAGTTTAGGGAAGGAGGTTGCTACTGTTGCTGTTTAGTCGGGCTTCTTACTGCAGCATCGCTTGTCAGAAATGGTGTGTGCAGGGGATAGCAGCATTCATTAAGAAGGAGTTTAACACCTTCAGAGTCTTGCAGAGAAAGATTTTCTCTTTTGCATTTGTAGATCGTTATTTGCAAAATTAATTTGGATAGGGAGAGGTTAACATTGTCTTTATGAAAGTAATGGTTTTATTTCACTCACACAGCAGCATTTCTGTGAAGGTTAATAAGGAAATAACTTGTAAACCCTAGGGCCAATTTTTGTATAGTTCTGTGTAGCTGAGGGGTTGTATTTGGGTATTTCTGAGTAAAGTATTATTGTCTACTGCACAGGTGAATTGTCCTCTGCAATATGTATGTAAAGTAGTGCAATCAATAATTAATTACTTAGTGCAATCAATGCCTAAGGTTTATTGCTTCAACTTTAATTACAACTGGCTTACATCTCACATTTAAAAGCACACAGTAGAAGAACATTGTTCAAACACATATCTATCAAACTGCATGATTTTATTGAATTCTTGGATTCTTCAAGAAACCTTGTATTATTCCCTAAAATACAGTTAACAGGGTAATTGCATGAAGGAGTTCCAGGGTGGATTTGGGTCCCCAAAGACAAAAACAACAGAACCCTCTTGACACTACCTTTTAGGGCTTTAGCAAGCAGTCCACATGCTTAGAAGGTTCAGCACTGGCACTGAACAGATTCCTTGATGCTTGCTTGGATTAATAAATGTTATTAGAAGGCTGTGTGAATTGGAAGACTGCACTGTCGTTTAAATTCAGTGCATTCAAGTCTCCCAAGCACACAGCTGACCGAGCATCTGAGGCTTTCCAGTAGCTACATCATAATACACAGTCCTTGCAAGTACAATCTTATTCAAACCCAGATTGGAAAGAGTATAAAATTGCCTCCCAGTTGTGACTGATCATATAATACCTCACCAACACAGTGAAATGGGAGGGTGATTAGCTTTGAAAAGAACAAAGCCAATTTCGTACTCTTGGCTATAGATCTTCGCATTATTTGCGTCAAGTCTGGAGTTAACTGCTGTGCTTCCTTGGGTTATTCTAGCAAGGTGTGTTGCATCCTCAAGGAATTTTGTATTTAGTCTTTGGATTGTATTTGGATTTATGCAAAAGTAGCCTTCAGTTTGCGTAGCTTTTATGTATCTGTCTGGTGGATTTATTCTCTTCCATCTTTATGACTACATTTTCAGCACAGAACAAGACTGGCAAACTTCAGTTTGTAACAGTAGCTGAGGTAACCACTTTGCCCAAGGTGAGATGGTACTAAGAGTTTGGGTTTTTAAGATTCCTCATGAACCAGTGCTTATTCCTTAAAACAGCACAGTAAATTATGAGGTAAGTTTTTATTTCTGAGGTACTTGGCTATAGGGCCACTCCTAGCCTTACACAAAGGAATGAAATACACAGGCAAGCTTAGACTCCCAAGCCAGATGATCCCACTGAGTCTGCTAACACTCAGATGTTTGTATGCATACAGATATATATGAATACACATATGACTCGTTATTATTAATAAAATCCTCCCCTGACTGTAGCTTTGCATTTGTGCAGAGAAAGCACAGTGAGTTGGATATCTGTACCCTGATGCAAGACACTCTCTGCTTGGTGTCAGGTTCCAGGTAGGCTCATATCTTGCCACTCTGTGATTCTTCTCAATTCATGCTAGAAGCCTAGCACACAAATATGTGTCTTCTCCCACCTATTATATATCAGCATCAGATGGGGCAGTGGTATTGATTGTACAGAGATATCTGAAGAGACCAGAGGATTTGGATGTACTACTGTTTGGTCAGTACGTATATTTTCTGGGGAACTTCGTTCACCCCTGTGTCTAGGTCACTTGCAACATATCTGTTTGCATATGACTGCCACTTAGAGAAAATGTGTGGGCTTCCATGAAAAATGACCTATGAACAATGGCTGCATTGAAGGAGAAGAGTGGGAGCTTTCCCGGATTCTGTTCGGATTTTGTATTCCCTCCTTCTCTGAATGCTACTAAAGCATCAGTCTTGGAAAAAAAATCACATGAATAATATTTTTTGACCTCTGAAATGCAGCAGATTGCACCAAAGAACAGATATCAAAATATTTGCAGGAGCTATATCCTTGACCCAAAGGACTCTATTTTCTGCTTTGCAAATTACGCAGTGCAATGCGTGATTGCTCCTCATTATAGATGGGTGCAGATTCTGGAGCACTGGGATCCTATAAGAGTCCCGAGTCTCCATTATCCTGCACTTTGCTGTCACCAAAACTGTGCATTATCATTTGATGTACAAGTTTCAGGTTAATATTTAAATATTTATACCCAGATTCGGGTATAAATCTGGTTATCTGGGGGGGTTTTGGCAAAACCAGTTTCACCTTTGAGAGTGAGGTGCATTTCCAGGCGTTCTGGTAGAGCTCCAGACCTTGTGACTCCTGTCTCAGTACAGCTTGAGATGTGAAGTTTTGAATGGAACACTCCAGCCCTATTTACTGGAGCTTGATTCTGCTGCGAAATGACATTGGTGTAATTCCTCTGACTTCATGGAGTTGCTTCTCCTTTGCGCTTTGTGAGAGGAGTTCCTGTTCTAGAATAGAACAGAGGCTTTTATCATAGTCTCATTAAATTATCATTTTAGCATCTAATATGGCTAATGCCAGTGGCAAATCTATGACCCTCCGAGAGTAAAGCAAATTAATATAGATTAAGGCTCTGTTGATTTCTGCTTTTAGTCCATTGTGAGGGGAAAAGACACCAAATGACCTTTATAAGAACCAAACTCAGTGCCCCTGAGTACTCATGACTAATGCAGTGGGCTAGTTCTAGAAGCACTTAAAAGGTGCCTTAGCAATTTCTAATGAAAATAAGAATACTGGTGCCTGTTCTGAGGTGCAGATGTATGTGCCTGTGGCTTGAGTTTATTTGCATCTGTGGTTGATCGCACATTGGTGCAGAGGCAAACTGTATTTCCTAGATCAAGATTTATCTGTGACTTTGAAAGCTTTTTCACTGGGTAAATAGAATTGTAATTTATTGCTTAGAGGAAGCATTGATCCAGTACAATTGGTTTAATAAAAAAATTCCAGACAAACAATGATCTATCTAGTCTGTAGCTGACTGAAGCATATTGGTTGTAGCTGCTTGCAAAAAAGTGTAGCATGCTGCTTTTGGAAGGCCTGCGAACTGATATACTATCTGAAGGACCAAAATAGTCCAAACAGTGGATGTAAACAGAACTGCACATTGTTCACTGTCCAGTAATCTGTTAACATCTTCACAGAAAAGAGAAGCTGCTGCCTCATTGAAAACAATGGAAAATATTCCACTCAGTAACAGTCCCAACTTCAGATTTTAGAATCTTCCTTTCCACTGTTGTCCCTTACTTGTGATAGTTGTCTGCAAACACATCCTTTTTTTTATTTGCTTCCTCTGCCAGAGCCCACATCTGCTTGGGAACCTGGGGAGATTTCTGTGGCACCAAAGGAAATAGATGCTCAGGTGTGCTATGTAAGGTAGGGGAATTCCTGAAGAACAAAATCATTTGCTCCCCTACATGCTGCTCCAGACCTCTAAGCAGTGTCATTCAGACTGCCTTCGCGTAGGGAATCAGTGGGATTTACTAACTATGGTATCAAATATCGAACCCAATAGCACTGGTGGGATTGAGCAAAAATGGGAAGGACGCGTGTCTTTTCCACTCTCCTAGGTGAAACTCATTTCCAGAGTGCCTTACGGAGTGCTGCTCTGTCTGTGAAGATTGTTTTTGTTTGCAAGCTTTTCGCTATTTTGTTAAAAGAGTAAGCAATTTGTGAAGCATACAGCACTGCTCGCTGACTTCGGCAGTTCCCTTAGGTGGGTGTTGCTGTCCCTGCTCTCAGACAATAACGCCCTTTTCTTTACCTGCTGCCCAGAATGCTGCTTCTGGTGCCGGCCTCGCTTCATGCCTGTCCACATTCAGAGGCTGCCCACAATGGAAAACTCTGATCTTGTGGCTTGCCCACTCCTCAGAGCAAAGTAAAATGAAAGCTACCCATTGTGTGAGCCTTATGTACAGCAAATTGAAATTCTGATTCAGTGAAACCTCCGCTTAGAAGGAAAGGTCAGCGAAACAGTTGCGTTAGTAGCAGAAACTGTGTCTGTCATTAGAAACAAACAAAAAGTGCAAATCAGGCACAGGTTTATTGGTAGGCAGCTCATAGACTTGGCTATCTGTTTTCCTTGTTCATGCAGATGGAAGTTGCCTCAAAATGGTGTGGGGACACTGCTAGCTGAGGAAGAGGAGATGCTTTCCTGAAGTCAGACCTTGCTGTCTTACTGCAGATAACTTCCTCGCCAATTCCCAGAGCAGTTTTGCTGGAGCAGAATGAGGGCATCCAAAGAGGAATAACAGGAGGGATAATCCAAATCGCTCTAAACAGCATGGATTGGACTTCTGTTGTTTTCAGTGGACTGTGACTCAGGTTGCAGGAGAAGAAACATGGTTT